GATGATTAAAGGACCCAGAGCTGGGTCCTGCTGTGGGCAATGCCATTTCTGATTTGTAGAGAGATCATTTATACTGGCACTTCAGGCATTTTTTCCGCCATACTCAGGAGTTCGGGCATTGGTACTGCAGGGCTCAGTGAGGAGATGATAAACCCGAGCAAACGCCGGTGGTCGGTGCGGCATTGTGCAGGGCATGCTGCGGGGCACGGAGCGGCCAGGCCGGCTGCTAACACATCCCCTGCTCTGGCCACCGGTGGGTTAGAGCCAACAGCCGCCACGGTGGAGGGTTTGTAGCGGAGCTTCAGTGCTGGGGACGAGGGTCGGACAAATGTGGCTGGCAACTGGATTTTTCTCCAGTAGAGAAGTGAAGCGGTGTGAGCTTCTCCATGTTACCCAGCAGTATCTTTTAATGCTGCACTGGAGAGCTGTCTGTAGAGGTGGAAAGAGGATGTTCCTGCATCAGCTACATCTGTGTGATGTTTTTTTAAAGCCATACTTGCACAGCTGATGTTACTTTGAAATCAAATCTGTAAATACATTTAATTTGGAACTTCATTGGTCTCCTTTAAACTGTTCAAACTGATTTATTCAAAGACTGATCAGATTAAAATCTGTAGGTTGCAGTGGCTATAAAATATTTACATTGACTTTCAGTTATGCTGCACATTGATTTCTAGAGAGCAGAAGTGACATGCAAGGCTCTAAATCTTCTGGGCTTCTGTGGTGCTGTTGATAGATTGGTCTCCGATGATCCTTCTTGCTTATTGCACACATTAAAAACAAAGGAGCTTCAACTGTGCCAAGTAAAGTCCATAAAATACAGGCATTTGTCCGGTCTAGGCCAAACCCAGAAGTGGGAGCGTTTGCCCAGCCCACTGTGGTGACGTCCCGCGGGGACACGGGTCCCTCTGCTCGGTGGAGCGGGGCGGGCGGCTCCGGGGCTGGAGGACATTTGGGTGTTGGCGGTGGCTGCCCCGGGACACCGGCTTGGTGCAGTCTGTAGGTCTCCACAGCCAAACCGGAGCCTCCTTTGCCATGAGGCAGCGTGGCTCTGAGGGGACCCGCTCCCCTCCCAGGAGCATCCTGCGGTGCTAGGGCAGGGTGGCAGGTCTCTGGTCTGGGGACAGGGAGCTCCTGCCTTGGGTGATGCGGGGCTTGTCCTTTCCTCTTCTGCAGTTTTCGAAGAGCCTGAAGACCCAAGTAACCGGTCGTTTTTTTCTGAGATCATCTCCTCAATCTCCGATGTCAAATTCAGCCACAGTGGGAGGTATATCATGACCCGGGACTATCTCACCGTCAAGGTGTGGGACCTGAACATGGAGAACCGGCCCATCGAGACCTACCAGGTGAGTGTGGCACGGCCGGGCACCTGCAGCGGTCGGGCACCCACAGTGCTCCTGCCCGAGCCACGCTCCCAGGCCAGAGGCAGGGGGGATGGGTCCAAACCTGATGGATGGGAGCATTGTGCCGTTAAATCATGGAAGGCAAACGAAGAACTGTTAAACGTGGGCTTGAGTGGCCTGGTGAATTGTAACCCACATCCCCAGGTTGGGTGTGGGTGAGGAGGGGAAGCTCAGGTGCTGGCGGCCAGGAGGGCCGCGTGGGCGGCAAACATCGGGGCAGAGCAGCGGTCCTTGCCACCCTCTGCCAGGGGACGTGCCCTGGCACTGCCCGGTGCTGCTCGAGCCATACGTGAAGCGGTGCTGGTGCTGCTTCTTACAGTAGAAGGGTCGCCGTGACCCAGTGCTTGCGATAACGGGCTGTGCCCAACGCTGCCTGGCTCAGCTGCGGAGAGCAAGGGGCTGGGCCAGGTCCTTCAGCCCCCGGCAAGCCCTGGGCTGGCATTTGCCGGCCGCTGGGCTGTGCCAGTCGGCGCAGGGCCCTCACACCTCGTCTCTCCTTGCCGGCAGGTTCACGACTACCTGCGGAGCAAGCTCTGCTCGCTCTACGAGAACGACTGCATCTTCGACAAGTTCGAGTGCGTCTGGAACGGGTCCGACAGGTGAGCGGTTCGGCGGCGCGGCTCCACCCCAGCACCCAGCCCTGCGGGTGCCGAGTTCGGCCCAGAGGGTGCACGCTTTGGGATGGCCCAGTGGCTCCTGCGTCGCCCTGCGGTCCCTTCGGCTGGGTGCGGGGTCTGGAGATTTTTCCTGTGGGTACAACAGGGATCACCTAAACCCGCAGCTCCATACCCAAGCACTGCTGAGGGTGTCTGATGGGGGCCCGGCTTTCTCCTGGACGGGTTTGGTTCCTGTCTCCATTTCGCCCGGAGGAGGGTGGTGATGCATTTGGCTCCAGATTGCCAAAATCTGGGGATGACAATGCATAAATCACACCGAACCAGGTGGCAGAAAGCATACAAGACCAGTTGACCTGGCAGTTTTGCCACATTTTCTCTGAACCATCAGAGCGAGTTAATGAGGCACAACTGGGCCTGAAGCCCAAATTCCAAATCTAATCCAAATCTCATTATGCCTCTGGATATTCAGTCTGCCTTTAGTCACGAGGCAGTTTGCCTATAAAAAGGTGTGAAAATCATTCAGTTCAGGTCAGCTAAATCTTTGCCATAAAGACTGATCTCCGTACGCGTTGTTATCCTGAAGGGAATTGCCTCCCCCATGTACGTTCCCTGGGTTAAGGTGGAGAAGGACATGGGGATGTGGCTTCACTGGCTGAGCCTGAGCCTTTTGGCGCAGGATGGGGCACGAGCTCCCTGGTTGTGCCCCCACGTTCTGTGGGGTGTGTGCTGGGCAGATCTGGGGTATCACAGCCGGGTGGGCAGCGGGGGCCAGGACCGTGCGCGATGACCCATCGTTCCTCCCTCCTCGCAGTGTCATCATGACCGGCTCCTACAACAACTTCTTCCGCATGTTCGACCGCAACACCAAGCGCGATGTGACGCTGGAGGCCTCGCGGGAGAACAGCAAACCCCGCGCCATCCTCAAGCCCCGCAAGGTCTGCGTGGGCGGCAAGCGGAGGAAAGACGAAATTAGCGTGGACAGTCTGGACTTTAGCAAAAAGATCCTGCACACAGCTTGGCACCCCTCCGAGAATATCATTGCCGTGGCAGCAACAAATAACCTGTATATATTCCAGGACAAGGTTAACTAGGAGGACAAGTTGTTCTTTAGGAATCTCATGTACTGAATACTAGTAAACACAAGATTTCAAATGTTTCTTTTCTTTCTTTCTTTTTTTTTCCTTTTCCTTCCTATTCCTTTGTTCAGTTATGGCTCTGCAGATAGCGGTTGTGCAGAGGCGAGCACTCCTGCACCCCCGGCGCCCGGGGCAGCGGGGTGCACACCCAGCAGACACCAGATTTCTCTTTATTTGCGCGTTGAGAGCTAAGACGTAACATGGGGCTGTGTTAGGCTTTCGCTATCCTGGTGTCCCCAGGTGGCACTGGGATGGCTGTAGCTGTCTGCCGCTGTACGAGTGTGGGCTGTCAGCAGTCGGCTGGGGAGGAGAAGGGGAGGGGGCACATGCTGTGTGCCCTTGGGGGGTTCTAGTTACAGCAGTCCCACTCCGATTGTTTTAAACTTGATCCTAGAAATATTCCACCTGTTACGTTGCAAGATCAGAACGTCATCCCCTTTGCCATTTTTCACATTTGTCTTTTTATTATTATTATTTTGTGTTTTTACCAACAGAGACAGCAAAACCAAACGTAAAATGGAAAAGTTCAGATTTGCAATGGACAAGCTTAAGGGGGGGGATCTGCTGCGCACCGAGATGTGTCTGCTCTAGCCAGGCTGCTACCTTCACCCCCACCCCACAGAAACTCTCCTGAGGATTTGGCTTTGTAGATACTGTGGTGCCTTTTTTGGTATATGAAATACCTTTATAAATGATGCTTCCAAACTGCATTGACTGCAAACCAAATTGAACCTGGGCTTTTCTTCTGCATTTCTTGTCTTTTGCTTTGGTCATTTTTACTTGTTCTCTTGTAAACTCTTGCATGTTGTGACTCTCTCTCTCTCTCTCTCTTTCTTTTTTATTTTATTTATTTATTTATTTGATTTTTTAAAAGATAAAGTATAAGTTGCTAATTTATGACCTTCTAAAAAAGAATCCAACCGTATATTGCTGTTAGCACCTGACTGCTTCAGAGGGAGGCTGTCTGTGGTCCTACATCATAATAATAATGATAATAATAATAAAAACAATAACTCTTCCTCTTTGCATGGCAAGACTGCCCCTTTCTACTCTAAAGGTTGTTCAGG